AACTCTGCTGAAGTAAAGTTTTAAGTGTTTCCTTGCTAAGACATTTCATTGTATAGGATACTTAATGCAGTAGGATGGCAATGGGTAAAAATCCCCCAAGGCAAAGATTCAAAGGTAAATAGTAAATATATCCTGGAGAAAGAAGTCAGCTAAAAGACAGGAATATTAGCTTATGAAATTAATATTTCTGTATTGGGAATTCAGTATTATTCTACTTCACTATGGTAAATAATCTGTGTATATTTTACTCCCACCAGTGATAAACATTCTGGCTTCCCATTTGAATTAAGGTAATAGCATGCAAGTGAATTTACTTGGTAGTTAAGCATATAGCATGAGGAAAAAAAAAAAAAAACAACTAGAAGTTGATGATTTTCTTCCTGCCAAACGGTTTTGCAAGTTTTTTGTTAGGGAACACTTCATATCTTAAACTAAATATGACCATCCACCCACACACCACAATGCAAAAACTGCCCTTAGTTTTTACTATAAACCATTTCTGGAAAAATATTTTTCTTAAAGCACCTATCACAATGTTATCTCATAAAAGTTAAAAAAAAATATGAACGTACATTGCAATAAAATATTTAATTTTTTTTAGGAGCTATTTTTGTAAAGTCCCAGTTGTCAACCATTTTATCATCACAAACAGGCATTGATGAGGATAGGCAGTTACTAAACTGAATCACTAAAAGGGGAATTTATTTGAGTATCTAGAGTTGTTTGGCCTATTTGCGTGTGTGTGTGTGTGTGTGTGTGTGTGTGTGTGTGTGTGTGTATGACCCAGTATGTGCTAATTAGCCAAAACATCCTACCTCTTTATTCTTATAAACATATTCATATTTATAAGGAGGTTATTTAAAAAATTTACAAATACATCTCATTATTTTTCATTATTTTAAAATTTACGGCTGGGCGAGGAGGCTCATGCCTGTAATCCCAGCACTTTGGGAGGCCAAGGCAGGTAGATCACCTGAGGTCAGGAATTCAAGATCAGCTTGACCAACATGGTGAAACCCCATTTCAATTAAAAAAACAATTACAACTACATCTCATTATTTTTCTTAAGTCTGTGAGCAAATCTCTGGGTCAACCTTTAACTCACAGATTTTATGTGGCTAGAATCAAAGCAAAACAAACAAAACAAAACAAATTCAATTAAGTGGGAGACAATATTATCTCTTAGAGATGCCAACAATTTTGCTTTTTTTTTTTTTGAGACAGAGTCTTGCTCTGTCACCTAGGCTGGAGTGCAGTGGCACAATCTCTGCTCACCACAATCTCCACCTCCCCAGTTCAACCAATTCTTTGCCTCAGCCTCCCAAGGAGCTGGAATTACAGGCGTCCACCATCACGCCCGGCTAATTTTTGTATTTTTAGTAGCAACAGGGTTTCACCATCTAGGCCAGGCTGGTCTTGAACTCCTGACCTCATGATACACCCAACTCGGACTCCCAAAGTGCTGGGATTACAGGCATGAGCCACCACACCTGGCCTAACTTAGCATTTTTACCATCAGGAGTTGGGAACGAAAACGTTTACCTACCACGTTTCCTTCAAAAAACCTGCATTTCAGTATAACAAATACGTTAAATTTTGATTGTGAGGTGCTTACCCTAGCTTTAAAAAAAAATATATTTAAAAATATATTATTTAAGAGATTTTTCCCCGTTTTAGTACTACAGGGATATTCTTTATAAAAAGAGGTTTTCATAAGGAGGAAAAAATATAAAACTTCATACATCTAAGCCCTATTGTGGAATTTAAGGAATTCAGGAAACTTTCTTTAGTCTGCATAAGAAACTAGCTGGCTAAATAAATAATGGAAACAAAATACTTCAGAAGTATGTTTTATAAATGATAAGATTTTATATTCTCAGATCAGGTGTGACAAAATTTCTACTCAGCAACATTCTCTCCAAGTAATTGTTCATGATGTAGAAATTTAGCAGTCTGCAGATAATAAATATTTTAGTCTCTGATTGATTGACTTGTTGTGTGACTTGGAGCCAGCCATTTGCTATTCTTGTCATCTGAGGTTCCTCACCTCTAAGATGGGGACAATGTTTTCCATCTAACCCTCAGTAATGGGCAGAAAAAGCTGCACATAGTAAAGCAGTTTGATAATCTGAAACATTATATAGCATGAGGTTATACCTTTGATTACTACCACTGCTTTCAAAATGGCTCCTGGTTTTAGCAGCAATTTTTCAGATTAAATTAGTGCAGAGTGGTGAGAAGAAATATTAAAAATATCTTGCTTTTAAGTAGGTAGAGTGAACCCTCAGATTGCTGATAGGAGTACAATTCTTCCTCCGTTCTGTCCCTTAACTTCCCCTTCTTATGATCAAGAGTTTCTGATGGTCTACTTCTGCCTCCTCTTCCAATTACTTTTTCAGTTCATTTCCTCATCTTTCTCACCCAGATTGTAGAGTACTTCCTATTACTGGCAAAAACTAAAGAATTCCAATGGAGTAAACTTACAGTAGAAATAGTAAAGCCACACAGAAGGACTTAGAATATTTAACTTCATACACATTTTTAAATAAAACATTCAAAACACTAATAAGTAAGAGTTAAACAGTGTTGGGATTGGTAAAGTAAAAGAGCACTCGGGGCGGGAGGAGGCATTAAAAAATAAAAAGCACTCAATATTAATCTGCGGTCTTGTGACTGCTTAACTATTATTCCTAAGCATGGAATTTGCCTAAAACTGAAAAACAGTTTAATAAAAGTTTGTGATTTCCTATGATGTTACAACTAGAAGAACTAAAAGACAGGAAAAGACAGCTTTACCAAGGTTGTTGCTGTTTTTTAAATGAACAATGTGTATTTGTGTATGGGATCAGAGGAATGGAGACAGGACAGAGAAGGGGAAGCAATAGATTTTTAATTTAAAGAAAATCGAAGAAAAATAACACTGTGAAAGGAATGAAAGTGCGTTTAGTGACATTGCAGCTTCAATAAAATGAGAAAAAAGAAAAATAACAAGTAGAGTTTCTAGTCAAGGGTTATAAGGTTCATAGCTTTGGAAATGGAGAAGAAACCAAATTACTTTCCAATATTGCTTCTCCTAAAATGAAAATCTGACAGCTGCAGTCTCTTTCTTATGAATAAGACAAGGGTCATGCCTTACATAACAGCTGCCTAGGACAAAATTTCTATTTTTAGGAAAGCTAGCTTTATACTGTTAACCAAAGGTTTCCAAAGTTGCATTCAAATATAAATGGGTTAAATCAGCTAATATGTTTTACATCTAATAATGACATTCCTACCTTGGACCTAGTTGCGCTCCAACACAGAGGACATCTATGGTTGAACAAACTAGAAGAAAACTTATGACCAAGGCAAGATCATAAGTATTACAGTAAAGGTAAGAAAGAAGTACAGCTGATAAAGAAATGATTGGCTGGGTGCAGTGGCTCACACCTGTAATCCTAGCACTTTGGGAAGCTGAGGCAGAAGGATCATCAGAGGTCAAGAGACCAGCTTGATCTACATAGTGAAACCCCATTTCTACTAAAATACAAAAATTAGCTGTGCATGGTGGTGAGCACCTGTAATCCCAGCTACTCAGGAAGCTGAGGCAGGAGAATTGCTTGAACCCAGGAGACAGAAATTGCAGTAAGCCAAGATCACACCACTGCACTCCAGCCTGGGGGACAGAGCAAGACAACCACTCAA